TGACGAGTATATAATCATAACAATTTTGTTTCTTAACAGATATTTTTCGAAAAAAGTACAGAAAGAAATGTTTCTCAACGTTTTAAAATCAACAAGAACACAAATTGTGTTAGTTCGTAGCACAATTCCATTTATTCAAACAAGAACATTTCGATACAAAGCACGTATGCAACAATTTTATAATGATGGAATAGATCTAAATCAACAATCTGTTGAAATAAACTCCACTGAACGTATACGTCGATGTTCATTTTATAAAGATGTTGATCTTTATTCATTTTATAAAACAACTTGTCCTGATGTACGAACACTTGGTGATGCATTACGCGAAGGTTATATTATTTCAAAAGATGGACCCTGTGTTGGCACTTTTGAAACATCAGGTAGTACAAATTTTATAAAATGGTTACCTTATTCAAAAGTTATGGAACAAAGTCAATATATTGGTTCATATTTATTATCAAAATTAAAACTTATTCCAATGAAATCTAAAGTAGCAATTCTTTCAGCGAATTCTCCGGAATATTTATTTGTTGAACAAGGTTGTTATAAATATGGATTTATTGTTATTAGTCTTTATAGTACGTATGATGCAAAGACTATTTTAAGTGTTCTTCAAAGAACACAACCTGAAATACTTGTTGTTGATAATTTTGAACGTATTCAAACATTTCAAAATGAGTTATTAAATAATGATTCTATTAAAGAGATAATAGTTTTAAATGATGGAAGTTATAATCAAAATAGCAAAATTCGATCTTTATCATCGATTTTTAAATCAATGAAAAAGACTGATATATGTCAACGACCAATAGTTTGTCCAGATAGTATTGCAACATATATATTAACAAGTGGAACAACAGGTAAATGTTTTGAGAAAATAATTTATTATAAATATGAATGTATTTTTTTTGTATTGTAGGAGAACCAAAAATTGCAATGCTTTCACATGAAAATCTATTAGCAACAGCTAAAGGTCATCTTATTCGTTTAGAACAAGCAAACATAAAACAACCTGAACTTGAACGACATTGTTCATTTTTACCCATGGCACATGTCTATGAACGATTCATGCTTTTACAAGGTTTACTTCGTGGTACACAACTTGTCTTTTGTCCAGCACCTGAAAAACTACAAAATTATTTATCTCTGGTAAAACCAACTCAAGCATCTGTTGTACCACGTGTTTTAAATAAAGTTTATGATGGAGTAATGACTGAAGTTAACAAGAGTACTATAAAACGATTTCTTGTTCAACAAGCATTACGTGAACAACCATCATTTCTATCACGTATTGCATTTCGAAAAATTAAACATTTATTTGGCAATGAAATTAAAGCAATGATAACAGGATCAGCACCTATAACACCTGATGTAATGCATTTTTTTCGTATTGCACTTGATATACCAATTATGGAAGGTTACGGACAAACAGAATCAGCCGGTGCTGGTACAAGTACTCATCCGATTGATATGACATATGGAACAATTGGTTCACCTGTACCAACAGTTGAAATAAAACTTGTTGATGTTCCTGGTACTGATTATCGATGTGAATATAATCGAGGTGAAGTTTGTATCCGTGGACCGACTATTTTTAAGGGTAAATCTGATAAAATCATTCATATTCTATGTTTTTTCTATCTTCTTCGTTTTTTTTCATAGGATATTATGGTGATGAAGAAAAGACTCGAGAAGCTATTGATCAAGATGGATGGTTACATACGGGCGATGTTGGAGAATGGACAAGCACTGGTGCATTGAAAATTATTGATCGTACAAAACATATATTTAAATTAAGTCAAGGAAAATATATTGCACCTGAACGTCTTGAAGATGTATATGTACGTTCAAGATGGGTTTCACAAATATTTGTTGATGGTATTTCAACTGAACAATCTGTTGTAGCAGTTGTTATACCTGATGAAGACTATGTGAGAAAACATTTCAAATCAACATCGAAGAATGTTACATCATTTGCTGATTTATGCAAAGATGCTAAACTAAACGAAATCATCTTCAATGATTTATATAAACTAGCTGAAAAATATAAATTGAAATCATATGAAACATTAAGCAATATTTATATTTATCCTGAATTATTTTCACAAAATAATGGTCTTCTTACAGTTACACTTAAAACACGACGAACAAATGCTCGACAACATTTCGAACCAATTATTAAATCATTATATGATGTGGATCGAAGAAAAGTAAATAATATTGAATAGAAATAGAAATTAATAATTGTATTTAATGTACTTGTTAATGTTTAATTCATTTACAATTTTCTGTAAAATGTCCCTTGTTGTGATGAGAGTTAAATTTTTGTGACAATTTTTTTCATAATATTGTATTAGTATAAAAAAAACTATAATATAGATTGTTTGTGAAAATCATGATTATCTAAACGAATCAAAGAACTCAGTTCACACTGTACTACTATATGAGATAAGATAAAGTGATAGAAATAGTTTCTACAATCTTAAATCTCGAAGATTCTGATTCATCACTATGCGTTTCTGTTTCTTTTGCAGTTATACAAATCGGTTTTACAAATTTAATAATATCAAGATCAAAATAGTATATATGTATACTCATGACATCTTTGCATAATAGAGAACGGGAGGTTACGAAAATATTTTATTTATATTGGTTGAAAATTTCGTACGGATTATATGGGATAATTTAAAATTTAATTGATATTTAAATATTCGTTTTTTTAATGATATCATAAAAATTAATATTAACAAAACATAGCTTGTATATTCATTCATAAGTTTAGATCGTTTCATTCCAGTAATTTTTTTTAATGATGATATGGAGATGTGTGTAAAATGTTATTTCAATCAAATATAGTAAGAAATATTTTATGATCTTTTTCCGTATCGAATTAAATATATGGTTTAGTATTATCCTTTTTAACTGGTTGGTTACATTTTTTACGTTTAGTGTATGTATATTTGCTATACTTCCTTTTGATGATCAAAATAGCACATGACTGAATGCATTTCACGGATGAGTAAATACCTCATTTATTGGATACATGTAATATACACTTTTATTGTTAACGATTAATACATAGTTCTTTTGTACTCAATTTTCTCGAGTAAAAGTTTAGAAAACATATTTATTTCATTGAATTATTACATTTAAATAACTTTAATTTAGTAGTAATGAATCAGTGCTTTTCAAAGGAAGCCAGAAAAACATAGATAAATTGTTTTGTATAAGCCTCAATGAAGATAATGAAAATCCGACAAAAAAAAGTATAGGTTAAAATTAAATTCTAGATAAAACAAGTTATAGAATGATTATGATTAAGACCAGTTCTTTTTCGATATTTTTACATAAGAATTCTATAATTTGAGAGAAAAAATACATCAGACGTATGATTCATTTAACCATTATATTCACGATTTAAAATTTATTAAATTCTTTGAAATTAATATTAATATTTTCTTTCAGATATTTTATTCAAATAGAAATTCTCAATGCTTCGATGTGTTCTAAAACCGAACAACATATATACAGTCTCATTTCTTCGATCTATTTCACTTAGTCATATAAATAAATCTTCATATAAAACACGTATACAACGAGAACATGATGATGGAATAGATATAAATCATCAAACTACTGAAATTGATTCCAAGGAACATATACGTCGATGTACACTTCACAAAGATGTTGATCTTTATTCATATTATAATAAAACTTGTCCTAATGTACGAACACTTGGTGATGGTTTATTTGAAGGTTGTATTGCATCAAATGATGGTCCATGTATGGGATATATTTCACCAGATGATAGTAGTAAAACAATACAATGGTTATCTTATTCTCAAGTAATTGAAAAAAGTCGTTATATTGGTTCGTATTTATGGAAAAAAACGAAACTTATACCAATGAAATCTAAAGTAGCTATTGTATCATCAAATCGTCCTGAATATTTATTTGTTGAACAAGGTTGTTATATGTATGGATTTCTTGTTGTCAGTTTATATACAACATTCGATGCGAAAACAATTATGAATCTCGTAAAACGAACTGGTGCAGATGTACTTATTGTTGATAATTTGAAACGTATTCAATCAATAAAAGATGATTTATTAGATAACAATCAAATTAAACAAATATTTGTTATGGATGAAGGAAACTATGATGAAAAAGGTAAAATACAATCTTTATCATCGATTTTTAAATCAATGAAAGATACGGATATATGTGAACGACCAACTATTGATCCACAAAGTATTGCAACATATATATTAACAAGTGGAACGACAGGTAATATCAAAAAGATAAAAATAAGACGAAAAATGATTTATTTTTTCTTTCTAGGTGATCCTAAACTTGCTATGATATCTCATGAAAATCTATTATCATCTGTAAAAGCTAATGTTATTCGTTTACAAGAAGCTCATGTTGAAAGACCATTAATTGATCGACATTGTTCATTCTTACCTATGGCTCATGTTTTCGAAAGATTTGTACTCTTACAAATTATATTGCGTGGTACAAAATTCGTATATTGTCCATCGCCTGATAAATTAATCGAATATTTATCTATCGTAAAACCTACTCAAGCATCGGTTGTGCCACGTATATTCAATAAAATTTATGATACGGTTATGGCTGATGTAAATCAAAGTGTCGTAAAACGATTTCTTGTTCGACAAGCATTACGTGAACAACCATCATTTCTATCACGTATTGTTTTTCGTAAGGTAAAACAATTATTTGGTGGTGAATTAAAAGGTATAATCACTTCATCGGCACCTTTGAAACCGGATATAATGCATTTTTTTCGTATTGCACTTGACATACCAATTCTGGAAGGTTATGGACAAACAGAAGCAAGTGGCGGTGGTACAGTTACTCATCTAAAGGATGTATCCTGTGGTACAGTTGGTACACCAATGCCATCAGTAGAAGTAAAGCTTATTGATGTACCTGGTACTGATTATCGAAGTGAAAATAATCAAGGCGAAATTTGTTTCAGAGGACCAATTATTTTTAAAGGTAAATTAGATAAAATCATTCATATTCTATGCTTTTTTCTATCTTCTTCTTTTTTTCATAGGATATTATGGTGATGAAGAAAAGACCCGAGAAACTATTGATCAAGATGGATGGTTACATACGGGTGATGTTGGAGAATGGAAAAGCACTGGAGCACTAAGAATCATTGATCGTGTAAAACATATATTTAAATTAAGTCAAGGAAAATATATTGCACCTGAACGTCTTGAAGATGTATATATACATTCGAGTTGGGTTTCCCAAATATTTGTTGATGGTATTTCGACTGAACAATCTGTTGTAGCTATCGTCATACCTGATGAAGACTATGTGAGAAAACATTTCAAATCAACATCGAAGAATGCTGCATCATTTGCTGATTTATGCAAAGATGATAAACTAAAAGAAATTATTTTCAATGATTTATGTCAATTAGCTGAAAAACAGAAACTGCACTCTTATGAAACATTAAGCAATATTTATATTCATCCAGAATTATTTTCTCAAGATAATGGTCTTCTTACGGTCACACTTAAAACACGACGAACGAGTGTTCGACATCATTTTGGACCAATTATTAAATCATTATATGATGTTCATTCGGATGTTAAACCGGATCTTAAAAAGGAATAGTTTATACTCAAGATAAATCTGACATTTGTTTTTATCATTCCAGCTTTCTGTATATATATTTTGTTTTGTTCTGCTGTGATTTTTATTATTTTTATTTATTATAAAAAAAAGTAAATATAGATTAACAATAGTCGTGTTGTTATATTTAGTAATTCCTTCTCTGCATAATTTTAAATATTTGATTATCAAGTACAATAAATAAGTTTTCTTCTAGTTTATTACTCATTGCAGACACAGATCAATTATCTTCTTTAGATTTTGTTGAATGTTGAAGGGTAAATGATGTCGAAGAAGATGATCTATTTAGAGGTTGTTCCATTTCAGATAGAGGTAATGATGATTTCTCCAAGAGTATTTCTGTTTCATTTACGTATGCTTGTTCTTCAGGTATTTTCAACCTAATAATTAACAAATTTTTAGCTAATTATTTTAATTGTCAACTAAATTTACTCACCCTCGCAATATAATCATACATAACATAGCTACTAGGTTTAAAAATACACAAAATATCAATATCGTAGATATTGAAAAATGCTACAATAAAAATATTAAAAGAAAGTTTCGTTTCGGTTTTTCTCTTAAACGCATACAGATAATAAAATAATCAGCATTATAAGAATTTGTGGTATACGTATGTAACAGATTATTGTTGATCGAGCTAAAACAAAAGAACTGTCTAGATGAAATATCATAATATTATTTATACTTTCGTTTGGTATATATGCATTTTTGAGAACACTTTTGGATGGACGAGAAATACCAATACAAAATTCAAACAGAATAAAACCAATCAAAACCGATATCAATGACTGAAATAATCAGATTAAAGCGTAATTAATATATAAAATAGTGTACTCACGTTTGGAAATATAATTGGTATTGTCATTCCGACTGCAGCTAGTAGAAGAACCACTCTAAAATAATCAAACTTATCAAAAAATATTGTATTATACTAAAAAAGCTAATTACATCATATATGATTGAATTCGAATCCATTTAGAAAGAGAATAAAAAACAAATGAACCAAGCATTGCTACTACCTAATTCAATATAAAAAATAATATGTACAAATTAATATTTCATTACCATATAACCAGCAAAAATGAAACCTAATGGCAATGGATTCTGATCAGTTGAACTTCTAGTTCTTTCAAGAACTGGTGTCCAGTTCATAATAAATAAAAATAATGATGCTTC